ATTTATATTCATTTTGTACAAGAGATTATATTAGAAATATTTCCAATATATTTTTCACATTTATATGCACTCAGTAGCTGTAAATGACATGAGAAATAATGCTAATTTTGCTATCTAACAAAAAAGCCAAAAATATGCCTTTTTCTTGATGTTTTTTCTTATGGGAAACATAGAGCGCAGTGTAGAACATACATAATTTTTCTGTCACTTATTAGTATTGAATAGATACATCTTTTGTAAAAATATAAATCTTGTTCTCGGTTGTGCTCTATATTTTCTGAAAGAAAAACTGCTTGAAAATAAGCAGTTTTATACAAAATATGCAAAAATGGCGGGAAAGCATGATTTTTATGATGTCATATTTCTAAAATAATGGCATTTTGATCAAAATGAAAATGACCAATAAAGGTCGCATATATAGCTGTACAAATTAAAGTAAAATTAAGATATCCATTTTAAGGGGCCAATTGAGACACTTACCATATCATATATCGCTCTTTACCAATTTTTTTTAATCTGCTCTAAATCGTAACATCTACCTGTATTTATCACTCAATTAAGTAATAAAATATCATTTTTAGAGTGTCATTGGAATATGACATGAAGTCGGTCACGTGATCAAATCCTATAACGCCCGAAGGGCGTTATAGTAGATTTGATCACGTACCGACTTCATGTCATATCCCAATGACACTCTAAAACGATATTTTATTTCTTATATTTATATTCTTATTTCTATTCACATTGCATAGACAAAATGCTTTTTTTCATGTATTCAGACTTTGTTATTGAATGCAACATAACGTATAAATACGACGTCATATGACGTCACAGTCAAGACTTTCCAAATGTCTCGTGCAGTTTGCTTTCCATACGCAAGAAAGTCTGATCATGTGACCGACCGCATGTCATCGAAAATTGAATTTCAATTTTTTAGTATTGTCATATAAGGAAAGACATTGGCAAATGTAAATATTAAAAATTAAAATCAATGCACATAAAAATATTCAGTTCATGGTGCCTGTTCCCACCTCCGATGTTTTGGACGTCCGTCTTTGCTCTGCTCCATTTTTTTTTAATTGTTTGATGGACTTTAGGTCTTGAATACTGTTCGTTATTTCCATATGTTTCATTACAGAAACATATTTTAGTTTTTTTCCTAGATGTTTGAAAAAAGTCCATTTTTACTACCGGTACATGTATTCGTCTTTATTCAATTGGATGCAGTACACATATCACATTATGCAATTGATTTCATCATAATTCCTAGTATAAAAGATGATAATCATTATCAAAATCAGTTAAAGTTCTGTAAATTTTGTTCAAATTGTTCTGCTTCATATATCAATATTTCATATTGTGAAAAAGATTTTTCCTGTTCCCACTCACAGCACGTCTACATCTAACAGGTCGGTAACGTCATACATAAACTGTTAGTGCAGCAAGACTGAAATGTAGAGCTAACATCAACATTGTACATTTGTATTTTACTAGTTGATAAATACATTTATTATATACCTTATGTGTATCACCCAATTTTACTGTTGAATTTACGCTATCACGTGACGTCGTGATCCGATTTTCCGGATCACCAACATGTTGTTTTCTGAATCCATATTACCACTCTCTGAAACTGATGACGTAGTACGCAGAAATATGACGTTATTTTTCTTGCGCGTTAAAAAGTCCCTTGTTATTATGCTTTGTTTTATGGATAAATGTTATGCAATTGATCTCTAAAGTTTTCTTTTGCTATATTTTGCTAGTTATGAGGGGGTATATAATAAATTTATCATTATAACAGTAACTTAATCCGCAGAGCCGTATCACTTCTCGTTGACAGGCGCGGATCATCACATCAAACTCAACGCTTCGCGTCTCGTTAGATCTGATGATCCGCGCCTGTCAAATCGACGTGATACGACCCTTCGGATCAAGTTACTGTTATAATAATATATATGTATCTCAAAGCCAAAAAATCTTTCTAGTTAGATGTATTAGCACGATTTCTTTATTAAAAGAATGATATATCTTATGTTCACTATTTATTTTGTATTGACTGAGAAAACTTAAGTATTTCTTATCTATTTAAGATGTCCCGTGAGGACACTTTCTTTTAGGTCAATACTTTTGTAGTGTAAACACTGTACATTGCATAAGTTGCTGATGAATGTCGGACCTCCCTACACATTTAAACAACGTGATTTTACTCCCAATAAAGCAGTAAAATAGGAACATGATTTTGTTATTGTATATTAAACAAAATTAATCAATACATATAACGAACAAATTTGTAATTAAAAAAAGCTATTTTTAATGCAACGAAAGTTCAAATCGTCTGCAAATCATATACTGGTAAGCAAACAAATTTTCCCTCTGGTGTTCATGGAACAGCGTAATCGATCGCGAGACATGGTGACCTGATTCGATTGTCTTTAGAGGAAACGATCAGCCGTACTTTAGCGATCTTATTAGAATAAAAATAAAACTCCTGTTGTCGTGAATGAAATGGAGAACATCAACCTCGAACTCGAAATGATGTTTGAAATATAAAAGCCTCGGCTAACTCCTCGGCTTTCATCTTTCATTCAACATTTCCCGACCTCGGAGATTATCCTGTTACATTCACAGAAACCCGGACTTTATTCCTTAAACACAATGTCTCTCTAGTATTGTCGGTCAATGAAAAACTTCACTAGAGCATCAGTGGATAAAAGTGAAGAAAACGGACAGCAGTCGATCTAATAACACTTCAAACAATACAAGTCACAAAAACACGGGCCAACAGGAATTCTATGACTGGGAACATGTATTTCCTGTTAACCGGGTTAACCCGCCATGTTTTTGATAAATTAGACGGAACATTCCGTAGACAGATAAATACAAAAAGATTCCATGGACAAATTCAAAGTAAAAACAAGAGCCTTGCAATGTATAGTAACAAGGCATTTTAATACAAAACCGATAATTTTAAACATTGAATAAGAACTAAATAACTGATGATCTTAAATTAATTTATGTAGGTCACTCGTCAGCTTTTTGGAAAAGTTCATGCAGAAGCTCCTACTTCAAAACGATTTATCTAATTATAATGTTTATAACATATTTAATTTCAACAATGTAAACGTTTTAAAATTTAAAAAAAAAAAAAAAAAAAAAGCTACAAAGAAGCAAGATTTGTGAGGGACTATTTTTTGTGGTGGATAGTTAGCAGATAATTTTGGAAATCTGTACATTTATTAAATTTAATATCTTGGACTTTTAGCCTCATACTTTTACTCGGAGAATATTTTCCATTATGATATTGCTAGGAATATTTTCTATAGGTCTTAATTTATATTTTTAGAACAAATTTTACACCTTACTTCAACAAACATTGCCAAAAAATGAAGATATGTCAAATAAGTCTATGTAAAATTAACACCAGTTTTTGCCTGAAAATCACATAGTTTGACCAATCTTTCAAAATTAACATCACTGACCCCACTTTTTCTTTCATTATTTTAAAGTACTCGATACTTGTGACTGATCAGCACTTAAGTCGTAAAAAGCTTGAATTAAAAAAAATGTTGCCTATTTAGTATTTTAATACCCCAAAATATGGTACTTTTTAGTGCAAAAAGGTCACACAATAACTTACTCGCATTAATTTGAAAGATTTTTTCGATGATAAATATTATTCAAAATATTTTACGTAAAAGAAGATAATATTTTTTGTCATGTTTACATCTGAAATAATATAATAAAGGTTTAAGTAATTAACCAAAGAGTTAAAATTTTAGTGCAAAAAGGTCAACATCATAGTAGATCAGTAAGATGAACACTGGCCCCCTATGTTCTCTGCGATTTTGAGTCACTCTATATGAGTACTTATTCAAAATATAATACTTCTCAAAGTCCTTGATTTAACAAATTTCACAAGTGACATACCTTACATGTAAATGCTAACTTTACGTGTTTGTTGAGATCTCTGGGGCGAAAGTACATGTAGTCGCCTCAGTTAAAAAATCGATGTAGCACGCTCTTGAGTTTCGCTTTTACCAGCATATGTAAAAACCTTACACAGATGTTATTGGAACATGAATTAAAAAAAAGTTTAAAATAGAATAACTAAAATTAACCATATTGTCATGAAATTTAGATCACTGATTATAAAAATGCATTTGTATACATCTTTATAAAGATCTACGCTAATATTCATTTTACTTTTGATCAATAAATCATTTAGAATTTGCATAAAAAAATTCCGAAATAAAAAATTGCATGCGTATCAGATTTCATTGCGTGGATATGCATTACAAATGTTTTTATAACCCTATAAAAAGGACGAACAAATGAATCATGGGAATTAAAACTAATCATTTGAGGTGAGAACTCTCCTATTTGTTTTTGGTAAATGTATTTTCAAAATACTTTTCTGCTCGATTATCCTCTACTTGTTATTATATATAATTATATAACAATGTATTCAATCCTTAAGATTTCAGAAAAGATGAAAAACATTATAATAATTGTGTTACTTGTGGAGATCAATGTTGTTTCTGGACACAAGTCGCTTTTAGAATATTTGAAAACACAGGCAAGCAATATGGAGAATGGATTAGACTCTGTCATCAGAGAAGGCAAATGTGGACACGCTGGTCATGGTAATTTTTCTAAGTATTTGATTTAAAGAGATAATACAACAACCACGATAATATTCATTTTTATTTCATGTATTTTTCAATTACTTTTTTAGCCTTTTATACCTGCTGTGTACAGTATATTTTAAATAACATGAAATGAATCATAACAAAATGTTGATAATTTCTTTTTTAATTTTCCAGACAATGTTGCATTTTCGGCTTAATTGTCAAAAACAAAAAGTTACAAGCAACACGAGACATGGATCTATGACACAGTTCTTGTGAATGATGGTAATGCATACAACAAAGCAACAGGAACCTTTACAGCGCCTTCTGGTGGCGTATATGTGTTTACCTGGACAACATTGACTGATCCTGGTAAAGCAGCCCACCCATACCTTAAAGTTAATGGTACATATAAAGGATTCACTGCAATTAATAATACGCAGACATCACAAAATTTTTGGAATGGCGGTTCCAATACAATTGTTGTCCGTCTCAAGAAAGGAGACAAGGTCATCGTGGCTTCCGGGTATCTGGCAGCTTATGCAAGAGGATCGTATTCATCGTTCTCTGGATGGAAGATTTATTGAATTTTCTTGCATATAGAATAAATTTATTGTCTAATAATAAAAATTTTTCCCTAAAATGTTTCGTTAAATCTATTTTGAATGTGTATAAATTACAGAATAAAAAAATTCTTCAGTCGGCGATCCTTATTTCCCCGAAGTCGAAGATTCGGGTATATATTATTTTGGCTCTGTCCTTCCGTCTGTCTGTTTGTCTGCAATTGAAATTTTAGCCTTGCCCATGACTTTTGCGTGTGTGGGGCTATCATTTTCACATTCCATAAGTATATATGACTTCCTTAGGATATCGCCTAATTTGACCTCTGACCCTAGTGTTTGAAACACTTTTACCAAAAACATTAAACTTCAGCCTTGGCCATAACTTTTGTACAGTTTGAGCTAGGGCTTTAATAAGTAACAAGTATACTTCTTGTGACAGGACGTTTCAAATGGTGAAAATAATTTAACCTGGAACTTAAAGTTTGACCTACTTTCAAGAAGACTTTACCTTGTCATCACTATTGAACGGCAAGTACTAAGGCCTTCACTCTTCACGTGTTTTTTTCTTATGAAAAGAACTTCCTTTTGGAACTAACAATTTTGACCTTTTGTCCTTGAATTTGCAGTTTGACTTGCATTTGAGAACCTTCAGACCTCGGTATACGCTGCCGTATGCAAGCAGTTTAAAACACAAACACATCTTGTTTCTTTTTGGAAGACTACATATCCCATTTAACTTGAAAGAAAAGATACCGCAATGTCCAATACATTTATTTCATATGGATAATTTACTTAAAAAAGACGTTAATGATAACCTTATAACAAAAACGATAAACCCGTTGTCTTCAATTTTTCTGTCGTCATTGGGTTTTTTTTTAAAATATCAATTGATTCAATACGTAAGAACATACACTATACATGTATAAGTAATATGTACAATATATGAAAGGGCAATATGGAACAAGAGGCCCAGTGGCCACATTGCTCACCTGAGCACTAGCTAGGAAAAAGCAAAGAAAAACTTTGATCGACCATCGTTGCCTCACCCAACCCATGAGGGGCATGATTTGAACAATCTTGAATACACACCAGCTGAGGATACATCGATATAAAAAAAATATCACTGCTTTACTGTTTTTGAGATTATTTTTCCTGTAATTTCTAATGTTTTTTGAGATTATTTTTCCTATAATTTCTAATGTTAAATTTTGATCGACCATTGTGTTCCGACCCTTCCCCTCCCCCGGAGTGTGATTAATTTGAAGAAATTTAAATCTACACCAACGAAAGATGATTAAATATAAATATGACCAATCATGGCTTTGCTGTTCTTAAGAAGATTTTCCCTTACCCTATACACTCTTTGATTGTCCATTGTGACGCCACTCTACCTGAGGTAACCCCCGGGGGTTATGATTTGAACAAACTTGAATAAACACCACCTGAGAATGCTTTCATATAAATATGACCAATCATAGCTTTGCTGTTCTTGAGAAGAATATTTCCCTATACACTCATTTGGAAAACTTTGCAGTTCTTGAGAAAATTTTTTTAAAATATTTTCAGTATACATTCCGATTTAAAAACTAAGGACTTCAATTATGGCTCCATCCTTTTCCCAGGGGGCATAATTTGAACAACTTTGAATCTACACCACCTTAGGATGTTTCCGAGAAACTTTCATTTTTTCCTGGCCCGGTGGTTCTTGAGAAGAAGATAAAAAAAAAATGCCATTAATTTTTTACTAATTCATAATTCATAATTACATGTATCTACCACTGGAAGAAGGTGTGACCCTTCATTTGAACACATTTAAATCCTCTTAACCTAAGAATGTTTTGTGGCAAGTTTGGTTAATAATGGTTCAGTGGTTCTGAAGCAGAAGATGAAAATATACGACAACGACAACGACGACAGACAACGTATACATTTTGCGCAGCACAGTTAAGTTTACAGTTACGACGCGGGCCTAACTTGTACGGGAAATGTTTACTATGACGTCACACAAAATATATGGTCCTCAAAATACTACAAAATGAAATTATTTGCTATTTGCTATTTGTTATTTAAAACAACAACGTTTAATTATAGTAGGTAACTAATTTGCCGTTATGCATTAAATTATATTATTATAAAGAACGTTGTAAATTGTAAATAAATTGAAATACATAGACTAGATCTGATGATGGTGACAACGCCGAATTCCCTTCTTTAACATCTGCGTTGGAAAATTTTCCCTATCTGATTTCTCAAGCAAGATCCATGGTTTTCTTAATTTATTCTTGTCTGTTGAAATTGAAGTGAAATGTACTCTTATGTACATAAAATTGACCGATCAAAATAATAAACAGTATGTAACTTCTGACGTCCTTTTAGCCTTTTTGTGTATATGAAAAAAAAATGTCAAAATGTAAATTTTGATAAGATTAACCGGTTATTTAATCGGTCGGAACGTTTCAAGGTCAACCGATTAGCAATTCTACGATGGATTGCAATCCCTATTTTATATTATAACAAATTGTGTACTTAAGTGTAAGTAAGCATTTTTTTTCTATCTAAATTCAAAGAGCAAATCAATCTTACTGCATAAAACTACAATATGAACAGAACTCTTTATAATACAGTGTTTAGAGCTTCCTTTAATATGTGTTAAAAATTTGGTTACAATGTGACATTAAATAACGGATGTCTACGATCTTTTTGAATGAAAAAGTCCTTTAGTTGTAGAGTAGTGTTCAATTAAAAGCTGATATATAAATATGAATAGGACAAATTACTCTCTATATTTGTAACTTTGTGTTCAACAGGTAATCATTAAATGTTTAATCATTGTTCATTAAAGACATAAGCAACGTACCTTAACAACTGAAAATTTTTCCAGATATTTTAAACTTAGAATTATAGAACCATCACATGTTTCTAGACAAAAAATAGCGTACATTACCAGGGGTTTTGAAAAGATATCAAGTGATGAAAGTTCTTTTATGATTCAGTGAAAATATACAAAATTTACTAAACGGCCCGAATGTTGATATTGTTAGAGGACTAATCACAGGATGTGGTGTGGAAAAAGGTATGTTTTTATAATGTTTATTACATAATAAGTAATATAAAAGTACAACTTAAGAAGAAATGGATAAATAACCATACACGAAGTTCTAAGTTTTACAAAGGTTATAGTTTCAAATAGTTTTGGTATGCTTCTAATTCTATTTCAAATATACCCGATAGGACATGTAGTTTGAAACAATATCTGTCAATTAGATGATCCGTATATTCAAAAAATTAGAATTAAGTGGATATGTACCAAAAAATATGTGTATTATCGCAAGTAATATTTTTAAGGTATTATTGACTCGAGGTGTGATCCGTATCAGCCCCGCAGATCCATGAGCTGACACAGCTATTGTGACATCAGTCATATTGCAGATGCGAAAATCCTATATTTATTACTTAGTATGAAATAATGTATCAGGAACAAATTAAGTGATAATACAGAACTCTCCCTCTGTCATAATATCAAGTTGTTAAAGTCATTTAAACCTTAAAAAAGGACAAGGACGTTATATTTCAAACGGGACACTTAAACCATAGTACAAAAAATAAAACAGGAAGTTATATGTTTTGTGCAAAAATGGCGAAATGGAATGATGTATTCGTTAAAGATTGTAAGTAAAGATTTTTTTCTACAAGATTTTTTTTTGTGATTTTTTTTTCAAATCTTAACAAATTACTCACAGATCCCTTTAAGTTCTAGAACTACTTAATGTGAATCTTTTACTTGGGCGGTAGGTACCGTGTAGATACACTGTAATAAAATCTTTAAGACAAGACATGTATACATTCTCGTGTTAAACCCAAGTGTGTTTCTTTTAATTTTTAATTTCTTTAACACACAATCTAGATAAGTCATTTTTTTCTAATTAGAAGTATTGAAAACATCAATTTTATAACTTTTATCTCTCATCCTTTTCATGCTTGGTCATAAGGTTTATAAAGCATATTATTCTGCAAAAAACGCGTTCATGATAAGCAATTAAGATGTTAAGAGATTTTTATGGTTAAAATTTATATTATAAGTGTGGAATTATATTATAAAATATGCAATGATAATTTTTTCGTAATTCCATTTTTTAAATTTCTATGTCTCTGATCCTACGAAATGAAAAAAATTTGTCAGAATCAACTACTGGTAGAGATATTTTAAAAACAAACAAACAAATTTTGCTCGTATAAATCAGTAAAATCAGGAAAATGAGGGTTTTGTTGATGTTTACACTACGTAAATAGTTTAAATATTCTTTCTAATTATTTCTGAGTTAGGTAGATATAAAACGAAACAGATCGCAGCAGACCTTTATGTGCGTGACTTGGCTTACATGTTTTTTACTTTATTTAAACAAAAATGTTTTCTATGGTTGTTAGTATGGAAATTAATGTCTCAGTAACTGTGTTATGTAATTTTTCCTGCAATAACTTCTATGTTAATTCCCGTACTAACAAACAAAGGAAGACATTTTACTGCTTATATAAATTTATATCTCACTGTAAAAATAAGATTTTGAACAAGTGTTTAATCACTTCTTGTAGTTTTCTTTAATATTTTTGGGATAATGCATGATGTGTGAGACTGCAAAGTATTTTTCTCAATCAATCCTGGATTCGATATGTTAAATCGTAACAATATGATTAATATAATCTCGCAAATTTTTTGAATAAAGCTTTAGACTTATTATTCCGTTAAAAAGATTTATTTCATTAAAACAATATATTCCCATGAATTTATTAAAACAAATAGTAGAAATCATATAGCTATTCACAATATTGATTTGATGTAAATTTTCTTTTGCGTGTTCATTATTTTATCTTAAAGGAAGAATATAAAAACTTCTCCTTCCTGGATTCACTGAAGATTATTTCAAAAGGAAATCTTCTTTTCAACCATTTAGTAAACCACAGGATATAAATTTACGGAAACATATGAAGATAACGAACAGTATTCATGACCTTAAATTCATAAAACA